ACGGAATTGGAATTGAAAAAGATGAACGCCAGGCATTTATTTGGTATAACAAATCTGCTGATAAGAATGATCCAGATAGCATATTCTGGCTTGGTTATTGCTATGAACATGGAATTGGAGTAGAAAAGGATGAAAAAAAGGCATTCATTAATTATCAAGAATCGGCTAAGTTGAAAAATTCTAACGGAATGTATCAAGTTGGTTATTGTTATTATTTAGGAATTGGAGTTGAAATCGATAAATATAAAGCATTTGAATATTATTTGAAGTCGGCTGAGGCTGGTAATTCCATAGGAATTTGGAAAACTGCAATTTGTTACTATTACGGAATTGGCGTAGAAGAAAATTATAGTAAATATGGTGAATGGATTAAAAAGTAAGTTAATATTATTTAAAAATTAAGAATATTTTCATACAATTTTAATTATCCGATTTTAATTATCAGGGAGTAAGTATAAAGTCTATTAATCTACATATTGGCTAATCGAGTCATAAACATTTAATTAATTGTGTTTATTTAGTCCGTAAGTATAAAAAATATTTATTATCATTGGAATTAAAACAGCCAAACAGGTTCACAAATCAAGAATATGAATACTTATTTACCATTACTATTTCATTCGCATTAATAATTCAGTTTGTGAGTGTAAAGAACATTTATTAATCATTGAAATTAAAAACAGTTCACAATCAAGAACATAAATACTTATTTATTATTACTATCCTTCAAATCATTTAGTGCGTACGTATGAAGAACATTTATTTATCATTGGATTAAAAACGGCAAAACAAATTTACAAATCAAGAACATAAATACTTATTTACAATTACATTCGAATTAACCATTCATTCAGTGAGTGAGTATAAATAGCATTTATTAATCATTGGAATTAAAAAATTCACAAATTGCGAACATAAATACTTATTTGTCATTACATTCGCATTGATCATTCATTCAGTGAGTGAGTAAAAAGAACATTTATTAATCATTGGAATTAAAAACAAGTTCACAAATTAAGAACATAAATATTTATTTACCATTACTATTGCGTAATATTCTTCAAATCATTCCATTCGCATTAACCATTCATTCAGTGAGTGAGTTATAAAGATCATTTACTAATCATTGGAATTAATTAAAAACAAGTTCGCAAATCAAGAACATAAATATTTATTTATTATTACTATTACGTAATAATTTTATTCACATTAATCATTTATTCAGTGAGTGAGTATAAATAACAATTGTTAATCATTGAAATTAAAAACAGCAAAACAAGTTCACAAATCAAGAACATAAATACTTGTTTACCATTACGTAATACCCTTCAAATCGGTTCATTCGCATTAATTTAGTTAGTGAGTATAACGAACATTTATTAATCATTGAAATCATTGGAATCAAAAATAGCAAAAACAACAAGATCAAAAATACTTATTACCATTACTTCAAATCATTTCATTCGCATTAATCACTCATTTAGTTAGTGAGTATAAAGAACAATTATTATCATCAGAATTAAAACAGCAAAACAAGTTCCACAAATCAAGAGTATAATACTTATTTACAACTACTAATACCCTTCAAATCATTTCATTCGCATTAATCATTCATTTAGTAAGTGAGTATGAAGAACATTTATTAATCATTGGATTTAAGACATCAAAATAAGTCCACAAATCAAGAACATAAATACTTATTTGTCATTACGTATAAATCATTTCATTTGCATCAATTTAGTCGGTAAGTATAAAGAACATCTATTAATGGGATAAAAATTCAAAAATCTACGTACCATTCATTTCCTTCTCATTAATTTAGTCGGTAAGCACAAAAATTATTTACATTTGATAAAGTTCAAAATTGCATGGCAGTTACAATAAAAGATTATATGTTATATATTATTTGATTATAAAGCTATTTTAAATATGGAAAATGTGCACATTGTAATAAAGACAACACGCATAAAGCATGGTGTCTATCATGCGATCCTGACATAACAACGAGGTGGACAAGTAGAGTGAAGGATATTGACGATTGTATTAAAACGTTCCAACTTAGAACCTGTGCATATAAAAATGCAATCGAATGGATTCCATTTGATAGATTATCTGATGTTAAAGAAATTGGTAAAGGAGGATTTAACTCTGTATATTCGGCAATCTGGTTAGATGGCATACGAAATGTTGATGGTAATTGTTATAATTATGTAAGAGCACGTAAACGATCCAGCATCGTTGCACTCAAAACCTTGTCCGGTTCTTTACAAGAAGTGAGTTAAATTTATTTTCTTAAACAATTTATTAAATATATAATGAACTAATTTATTTAATTAATTATAAAGTTTGAAAATTATTTAAAATTTAGCTTGTATGGTATTAAACTTAAAATATACGGATTAACTCAAAAAAGCATAAATGAATACTTGATGGTCTTTCAATATGCCAATAATGGATGTCTTAACACGTTTTTAAGAAAAAATTTTCGTAATCTTACCTGGCAAACTAAATTAAAACTACTTCTCGATATTTCAAGTGATTTAAATGTTATTCATAGAGCAAGATATATTCATGCAAACTTTCACAGTGGCAATATTTTAATTGATAAAGGCATTAGCACAAATTCAAAAGCTTATATCTCAGATCTAAAATTCTCCAAAAAGGAAGATAAAGATTCAAATAGTGATGTTTATGGTATCATTCCTTATGTGGCACCAGAGGCTTTATTGGGTCTAAAGTTTACAAAAGCTGCTGATATTTATGGCTTCGGAGTCATTATGGCAGAAATGTCAACTGGCCGAAGACCTTTTGATGGACGTAAATTTGATGCAAAACTTGCAATTGAGATTTGCAAAGGATTGCGTCCTGAATTTGCACCTGAAACTCCCAACTGCTATGTTGAATTTGCGAAGCAATGTATGGATTATTATCCCGAAAACCGACCTACTGCATTTGATATTTGTAAGAAACTTAATGAATGGAATGCATGCTTGGAAAGTTCGGATATTGCGAATGAAATTAAAAATCAATTCTTGGATGCAGACAAAGTAGCCAAATATTTACCCGTTGTCTCACCAAAATATTCCGATATTATGTACACTAGCCGACTTCTTGAAGTTCCTGTTGGTAAGTATCATTAAATTTACTATACTCAAAATTTTATTATTTATATTTATATTGGCATTTAAATTTTGGTATTCAATATGATTCTGTGCAAAACGCTATCGTGTGGTATATATTTCTCATATTACCGTAATGTGCCATATAAAAAATCCCCCATATATCAGACCCCCCTCGTTTTTTACTAATTATTTCTTTTTTTTACTAATTAATTTTTTTGGTGGAATGTAACAGACCCGGGTCGTTTATATGGCACATTACGGTAAAATAATACTTGAGCAATTTAAACAAAAAAAGTTTAGTTCATTAGACCTAATTTTGATAATAATAGAGTTCTCAATTTTGATAGTAATTATAGACTAAGTTTGATAATAATGGGGTTCTAAATTTTGATAGTTAGTTTTATTTTGCATAAAAATGTAGATTTATTTTTTTAATGATTTCTACATTTTTGTAATAGATTATTTACTTTTAATAATTTGTAATCTTTAATGGGATGAATCTCTTTTTGTGAATTTCAAAAAATATGATTGTTTTTATTAACAGCTTATTTATAACTTATAGACCTGCCATTGACAATTGACACCAAAAATTGGTTCCATATTGCAATTCGTGACTATAATTTGAATGAAATATCTTATGATGAGTTCGGAAAACTAAAATATATAGATAGTGGTGCATTTGGGAATGTTTATTGGACTTCTTGTAAATCAATACAGAATGAAAAGGTTGCTGCAAAAGAAATACATATTCCAGAAGAAGATGATGAAAAAAAAATTAGAATGTTTCTTAATGAGGTTTGTGTTGTTAAGGTTTAGTGAAGATATAATATTAATATATCCATATAAGTCGCAAAATTTTCAAATCTATAATTTATATAATATAATTTTCAACATTTTATAATGCTTAATTAGTTAAAACTACATTGTCAAGTTTCGCATCCACGAATTATCCAATTTTATGGAATAAGTAACGGTTAGTGATTCTATATAGATCCAATGTAAATATATACTTTTATTAATACAACATTTAAACATGATAAAGATTATCGACGTGAAGCTTACTTCATTTTGATGGAATACGCTGAGGGTGGAACTTTACGTAAATATTTGAAAACTGCTAAGCTTTCTTGGAAAAAGAAAGTTGAATTAGCAATACAAATGGTTGATGGAATGTCTTATTTACATAATAGGATGATCACTCATCGCGATTTGGTATGTATTATTTTACAAATTATTGATTTAAAGTTATTTTAATCCAATAAGTAATATAAATTTTTACTAGCATTCGAATAACATCCTCATTCATGATGGAAACATAAAAATCTCTGACTTTGGTTTATCAAAAGATCTCAACAGTAAATTGTCATCTAAAAGCAATTGTTTTGGGATGCTTCCTTATGTTGATCCCCAAAAGATTCTTGATATAAAATATGTTCTAGATAAAAGGTCAGATGTTTACAGTATTGGTGTCCTTCTTTGGGAACTTTCAACTTGCAGAGCTCCATTTGAAGGGAGGATTTCAGTTTTGTTAAGTTATAAAATTTCTAAAAAAGGTTTGCGAGAAAAGCCCATAAATGAAACTCCTTTACAATATGTTGAATTATATTCTAAATGCTGGGATAGAGATCCTTTTAAACGACCTGAAATGGAACAAATTCTTAATAGCTTGAAATCTCTGAAATACAAGCCAGTTTACTTTGAATCTAATGAAAATTCGAATTCATGAAAATTTATTTTCAAGTATTTAGTTATGACAATTAAATTAACTACAAGGAGTACTATGCTTATTTCTATAATTTTGCTTATTACGAATTTTTATGCTGTTTTAAAATTTTATGATACCGATTTTATACTCTAAAAAATATTGTAATAAATTAAAAATTTTAGTTTCTTTATTTTGTTCTAAAAACTCATATTTTAGTCGGTAACTTTTCCGCATGTCCACAGTTTATTAGTAATTCCCCATCCATTTTGGTAACAATGTCCAATTCTAGGGCTAGTAGATTTATTAATTTCTTTTGATTATTTCATAACTTATGTTAAAACGGTAATGATGAGTGGCTTAGTGGCTTAGCTGCATAGAAATCAAATGAATCACGTAAACACCGAAAAATTCACGTATACGTGATTACACGAAGACTGTGCCTTAAGACTTTTCGGTGTGTACGTTAATTTTATGGTGTCTACGTTCTTGAAAAATAAAATGTATATAAGAACCATGAATTCAATAAACGAAAGGACAGTTCCTTGTTCACTTTCAATTACCACTAAAATAATTAAGTATACACTTATCTGAATTTTCCTTTAAGACTTTGTTTTGAATTCGACTTGTAACTTTAATAAACCCTTTCGAGACTCAATTCGACGGACTGAATTGACTTGTAACTTCGATT